GCTGCCAGTCACACGGGATCAGCACCCTTATAGTCCCATAAGTTATGGACCACATCCGAACTAAACACTTGGTCGAGAAGTCGTCTGCAGATTACGAGGAACAAAGTTGTAAACACAATGACGGGACGTATTACGATATCAGATGCTTGTACTTGAGTCCATTTCGAGTATTGATCAAGCCACGTCTCCTCATTCCTGAACTTACTCAGCTTTACTCCAACTCTCCAACCACCATGACCAAGATTGCCATCGTGTACTACTCCACCTACGGCCACGTTGCCAAGCTCGCCAACGCCGCCAAGAAGGGCATTGAGTCCGTCGGTGGAGTCACTGCCACTATCTACCAGGTGCAGGAGACCCTCCCGGAAGAAGTGCTGACCAAGATGCACGCCCCTCCCAAGGGAGACCACCCCATCGCCACCATCGACACGCTCAAGGAGGCCGACGGTATCCTCTTCGGTTTCCCGTGCCGTTTTGGCTCGATGCCGGCGCAGGTCAAGGCGTTCTTCGACTCGTGCGGTAGCCTCTGGGCGACGGGTGCGCTGGTGGGCAAGACCGGCGGTCTCTTCTTTAGCACAGGCACTCAAGGCGGTGGCCAAGAGACGACCGCGTTCACGGCGGTGACATTCCTGGCGCACCAAGGACTGACGTATGTCCCTCTGGGATACCGTGGCAAGGAACTGCTCAACATGGACGAGATGCACGGCGGCTCTCCGTGGGGTGCTGGTACTCTGGCCAAGAGTGACGGATCTCGTCAGCCGTCGGAGCTGGAGTTGGCCCTGGCCACCACGCAGGGCAAGTCCTTCGCCGAAGTGACGAAGAAGCTGGCGGCTTAACCGATACAAGTATGATCTCTTAGGCAAGTCTGACTCATGTGCATTGGATCCAGTTGTAGACGTTAATCTTGCACTGAATATCAAATGACTGTTGAGATTTAATCAGTTTACATATAAAAGTAGATCGGCTTCGACTCAGGTAGGAATAGACGTTGTTTTTTACGTAGCGAAAGAGATTTGAAATATACCCGGTTTTAGTCCACAAATGCCATCTGAAGTAGGGTTGGTAATTCACGGTTAAAAACGTTGATATTCACGGTTAAAATCATTTACATTCCAATTCACACGTTGATATTCCATGTTAATATCACCAGACGTGATCTTGAAGTAATTCGCGTGTGTGGTTCACACGAAATCCATTTCAATTGTCACCGTTAATATCCATTATTCACCGTTAAGAACGATTAATAACCCATAAAGTTGTATTAGGCGTTAAACTCTCCCCTAAAGCAACTGAGACGTTCGTTGGTGAACTTGTGGTATCATAGCATTGGAGAACGTCGACTAGTTCGATTTATACTAATATAAACCAATGGACGTATCTGCGAGCTATCGTGGTCACCCAGAAGTTATTATGATGCTGCGATGTGGTGCTTTCACGCTCCATCGTCCATTTGTCCGATGTGGTATGGCAGAAGTCGCTTCGAAGCGGGGCGACGTACCCGGAGCATGCTGTACTCGGTTCCTTAACGTCTAATCATGCACGTTGATTGGCTGTGTGGCTTGTGCTATCACACCATCGGGAAAGGCCTTATCAGGAAGAGTTCAATTGCGGCGAGACGGCAGTCTAAACGACTTCCTCGTGGCTCTGATGGCCGACAAGAGACGCAAGGCCACGAGCACAAAGCGGAAGGTAGTTGACCCACTGCAGAAATGGTATACACTCTGTCATAAGCTGACATGAGCTGTGGTTAGGAGGAAATCAGCGAGCTGAAAGCGGAGATCCGCAACCTGCGGTCCGAGTTGGATCTCAAGTCTGAGTTAAAAGAGCTACAGGGACTGGTTAAAGCTCCTCCAGTGGACGTAGTGGTCTCTGAGAACATAAATTTGTCCTCTGCGATTCACCAGCAGCAGTTTGATATCGCCCGCGCGCACTCGACACTTCCCCCTCCATTGGTACGTAGTAAACCGCACTGTTGTCACTGCAAGTGGCTGACGGTTTAAGTGTAGGAGCTTCATCCACTGTGCACGCGCATCTGTCTGAAGAAAAGTTGGGACCAGCGAAGTGCGACTCTTTTGAGTCTACGAGAGCAAAAATTTAGAGCTGCACACGAGTATATTACCATTCGCAGTCAGTATTCGTCCTCGTATTCGAGCGACGAGCGGTTCGAGACTGCGAATGGCGACGTGTGCTGCTCCATCTTCCAGACTGTCCACTTTCCCGGCGTCAAGTCACTCAAGCAAGTGTACGACGCTGTTCTCTTCAGTATGAACAACGTGGAGATCAGTATCTGCGAGAGACTCGGGCATATCACAACTCGAGACGACTATGACTGTGTCGACAGTAGCATCTACAACGCCAGGATGATTTCTACCGATGATATGGGCGTTACGACTGAAGTGAGTGGCATCATGTTCTCCAGATTCTTCGATTCAGATGATAGAAGCTTTTCGGATGCTCCGTGTGGGATGCTCGTGATCGATTCGGTGGATGAGGACGAGCTCTGTCCGTATGTTCCTAGCGAGCGAGTACGCAAAGATGTATCTGCAGCCTTTGTACTGACAGCAGACCACCCGCAGCATGATACACTAGTGGTGACACTACGACGCGCAGCTTTTGTCAAGCTTCACTATCCAGAGTTTGAGATGTCCGAGGGGGTTTGGCAAGAATTGCAGCAAGATGTTGCACGGTGGGGAGATGTTACGACTAGAGCCATTCGCAGCGTCTTGTATTCAGTACCGTAGTAAAGATCAGAGAGATTGAGAAGTATTAGACGTTGCGCTACGACCTTCGAACCTCCTCGTAAACGAAATCGCATTCAGCATCACACCGGCAGTATAGGTAGTAATTCTATTCCTCGACCTTGATTATGATAGAAAAAAAATACTTACGTAAAAAATAATCAAAGTGCATACATTCGAGTCCACATCTGAATGTTTGTGCAACCGAGTTGTCAGTGCCAGTTCATCGCCTGTTAGTCTGAACTTCCTCCCAGAAATTCTTCCCAGCACTCCGCGATCTGAGCATGCCTCCAGTCCATACAAGCACAAAAACCAATTGGATTCGTCACATACACTGACGTCCTCATTTCCAGTCCGTCTGCAGAAACCTCAACTCCTTCTTTCAAACGATCCAGAATAAGTCTGCCATGCTCGATACAGATTGCCCGAATTACCAGCTTTATCTACAAGCGACAGATCAGTATCCGTATTAAGTCAATGAATCCAATTACTGCACTTACCTCAAATCTGTCTTGGACTACATGGTGCTCTGAAACCGACTCGATGTGAATGTTCATCACTGGGACGTCACATGAGTACCCATGATACCATCCAGACATAGCATACGATAAAGCTAGTCGACAGCTTTTATCCAGCAAATATTTGCGATAACTGGGGCGTTGCTGGCAGTTGTTTCTTGTCACCAAACACCAGTTGTAAGCCATTCCGTACGGCCCGAAAATGTCTTCGTGCTCGATTCGCTGATATTTAAACTCATCACTGGTGCGGTCCACCATCGAAGACAATACTCCGTCTGGAAACTCGATCGGCAGCGAGCTATAATCGAAGTATCCGACGGGATGCAACTCTGTTGGCTCGCCAGCCACTTCAGTTACTTCTGTCTGGATTGTTAGTCCTTCAAGAGGAGACATCTCCGTAACAATTTCTTCGTTCAAGTCACTTTTAAAACATAAAGCTGTTCTCTCTTTGCAAACAAAATGTCAGAGATCTGTGCTAACATCATTCTACAGCAGTGAGAAAAACTTACCTCTCCTAAACAGGACACGTGCGTTTAGCGTTGTGCCTTCGTACCATACTAAAATATTCCTGCCGGCCGAGCGAAGCTTAGGGTTGTAGTACCCGTTGTATTCGGCAGACGACCGATATAGCAGACGTACGATCGCTGTGTCCATCGCGTCGTAGACTGCTACATCGAGACACCATGGGTGAGGGTGATACCGAGCCGGGATCTTCACTAACATGTGCATTTGCCCCGACGATGGCTCAGGCAGACCTTTTCCCTTCCACCAGTCCAGAACGGGCGTCGTCGGATCTGCTGACGTCGCTGATAGTAGCTTGTGAATTTCGTTTGGAACATCCCCATTCGTCAGCGCGTCAGCGTCGAAACCTTCATCTCGCATCCAGTCGCTATTTCAGCGGCCAAGTGGAGTTCTAGCTCGTTGGAGTCACATTTGATAGTGTTGTTCTGCTTCTTAATCAGTGTTCTCAAATCCCCGATGGTCTCACTGCCGTGAAGGTTCAAAGCAAAAAAATGTACTACTCTCAAACCCAACCAACGCGCAGGTAAGCGTCAGCATTTTGTTGGCCAGCTAGAAAAATGAGCGAGATTAGTAGTAGGAGACTTTGATTGATGGATGACAATTCTGTTCTTGTCAATCTGCATCACATATAGCATACATCATGCAACGTTGTCGTCTTCAAACTGCATTAACAATCACAGACTCAGTCTACCTGTATAGCACACACACACTCTAAGATTCCATTGTGTAGCAATGGAATCTTAGAGTGGGTAAATTTAGGAATGTTTGTAAGAGAAAGATGAAATGGGTGCAGATCCAGCCACTTATTATTAGCTTCGTGATCTACTACGTTTTAGACTCAAGCCGAAGCCAAGGAAGGATGCCAGCCTTAAGCAAACAAAGCAGACTGCTGAACATGTTTCCGACTGCAAGCATGGATGGAGACGGCTCAAGGAACTGTAGCTACGACCGCTTAGTGAAGAAGCGCAAGGCCACTTACTTGGTCAACAAAGAAGAAAAGACGAGACTGAGTAACGAGGTGCAAGAACTCGAAGCCCAGTTGGCAGCTCTGAGAGAGCGAGTGGGACTGACGGGAGAGCAGGGTATTTACAAAGTGGCGACCAGCAACGTGGTGCTGAGTAAGGTACTGCGTCGGCAACAACTCCTAGTCGCCACCGCACAAGCGGGGCTGGCAGCGTGCTCGGTAGGATTCTCGTTTTGGTTTCGTATCGATTAATTGTTACTTATTCCTCTGCTACACTGTAATTCACAGCGAGGATCGCCCCACCCACTATACTCTTACATTCATCTTGGAGTCGATCACGAATCTCGTCAGCAAACGCTCTCTGCAATCCGAGAGTTTAAAATTCAAAATGGAGTGGACTATTTGGAGGCACGTAGCCACCATCTGGATCTACATCAGCCGTATTCGTCGAGCGAGGAGTTTGTGGATACTCAAGGGAATTTCTGCTGCTCAATATTCAATGTGACGCAGTTTAGAGGAGTCGAATCTGTGCGGAAAGTTTATGAAGCAGCTATGTTTCACTTTTGGAACGAAGAGATTTCGATTTCAGAGAGGCTGGGATGTATCACAGTGCGTGATGACTACAACGCAGCAGAGGACAAATTCAGCAACTGTCGCTTATCTTCTGGTGATGAAGAAGGTGTCAAAACCGAAGTGAACCTCGCTTCCTTTGCTCACTACGTCGATGCTAACCATTCTGATACCAACGAACCGTTTGCTGTTCTCGTGAGAGACAGCGTGGATGTGGACGAATTGTATCCGTACAGTCCTAACGAATGCGTCCGTAAAGATCAAATGGGTGCTATTCTCTTGACGTCTATCGAAATTAATGCAGGTTCCGATGAAAATCAAGAGAGCGAAAAGGGAGAGCGCATTGTGGTCATGCGGTCTGCAGGTTTCGTGAAGATTCAACGCCCAACGTTTTCTTTGTCTGAGCGTATTCAACGAGATCTGCTCAAGGGAATGGCGGCGAGATTTGACGTCATGCTCGCCTCAATGAGAGGAGTAATTTCTACCTGTTCTTGACGATTTTTACACGAACTCCCTGAGAAATGATACTCTTGTGCGAATTGTAATTGCGCATTGTCACAAAATGGACCAAAAAATGAAACATGTGCATATTATTATGGTATGGCCGCTCTAACAGTTGGTAACCAAAGGCTAATAGAGGAGAAAGGTGCCGTTCCATCTGCCAATCCCGGTTTCTGCTCCAGTACATTTGCTGCGAAAGATCTACTTTGCGTTCATTGCGGGTTTAATTTAAGAAACGAATTCTATTTCTCTACGATTGTACATTTAGCAACCTGCATTGAATAGATTCCCCCTCTTAAAATGATTATCCAGTGAAATCCAATCTCTGGCTATGATACATGTTCTATGCAAAATATTTGAGAGGCTTCAATTGGGATCAGTTGGGAGGCACCACGTGTACTTTTGGCGACCAATCAGAATCGATGATTTCGGATCATGCTCCGCTCCTGATCCCGTTAGGAACGGCCCTTACATCCGGGTCAAAACCAAATATATTTGTTAAAAGTTTTTACGACAACGATATATCTGCTAAGTTCGCCTCTAACTATGTTAGGCGTGAACCAGCTGGTAACGTGGAAACTCAACTAGGTCGCCTTGAGTTGTAGTCGGAGACTTGAGTTGTAGGCTGGAAAATTGAGAATGAAATTAAAAGTTAAACAGGAATCAACGTGAACTACTCGAATGCTGCCATTTGTCTAGCATCGGCTACCATATGAGAGACGTCGTGTGATCCGCTGTCAGCCTTAAATTGAGGATACCACCCCAGACAACCACAAGAGCTGTATGTCGCTGTGGACAACCTAAGTTGCTCACGTATAGAACCAAGGTTATGGGTTGAACCATGACACCTTCTTGGACAAAGGTGAACACTGCGGCATCGATATCATGCATAACACATGTGAAGTGTTTTATGGCCATCGGGGTAAGATCTCGGGATTTTTTTATAAATTTTATTCGATGTAAGAGGTAGAACGTGTACATAATAATGAATAGCTTTTGTTGTCCCTAACATGCATGCCTTCCTTACCTCCTCGTAGAGTACTTATGGTTCCTGCTTGTTTCTGTTTCTCTTCTGCGCCTATGTTGCCTATCCTGCTTCATTTTCCGTGTTCATTGGTACCTGCATGTTTATCTAACTAAAATTAGGCTCACTGTAGCTGCTTGGCGTCAAATGCAGCAGTTTCATTCTCATTCAGCCTCGGCTGCGAGCAAGCAAGGCGGGGCCTATGTGACCGTGCTCTCTAGCTTGCTGGTCAGAGCAGGCACGACTTCTTCCTCGGGTTGACTTCGGCTTGGCGGCGAATAAAACCCACCCGGGAGCTGACGCCAATGCGAAACGGGTTTGATGTTCGCTTCGCCTTTCCATGGTGCTTCGTGTTCAGACAATCCATGCCACTTCACGATCCACTCACGCTTCTTGCGTCTGGTCCTTCGTGCTAGTAGCTTCACAATGACGTAAAGACCTTCACCTGTCTCAACATCCAAAATTATCGCCACAGCCTTCGGAATCGGGTGATTTGAAAACTTTGTTGTGTGCGTCAGGTAGTGCGATAACAACTCGACATTAAACGTGAATTTCAGACGCTGCATCGCTCGCGGAAGAATCAACTTCGCCACGTTGGCGTTTGCTATATGCTCGATCACAAAGGGTCCACCCTTCTTAGCCGCTAACTTCGCATTCTTCAGTTTTGCGTTCTCATTTACTGTCTTTAGCGGTAAGTTCTTCGTATCGAGCACACCAAGTCGCCTTGTTTGTAAACAACTTGTCTGCGCTTGCGATCATAGTACTCCTTCTGTCGTTCGTGGACCTCTCTTAAATCCTTTTGATCTTGTTTCTACGACCACTTGACATTTCTTGGCTAAGTTCTTGGCGTACTCTGGGAGAGTCGTGTTTTGTTTATCTGTTGCATATCCTTCATATCCTGTATACCACGATATTAGACACGTCACGTCTTGCGTCGACTTTGAAAAGAGATTCCTCGTTGAATCTTTTACGAGTGGAATGTACAAACTCTATAGTTCCGAGATGTTTCACCCAAATCATCACCATGGTACGACATCATACACTGCAGTGCGTCTTCAAACACCAAGTTTTTTTCCGTCTGGTCATCAACTTGAGCTCGATGCGCCGTAGTCATGCTCAACTTGATTTTCATCAGTTTCATGAATGAGTTTCAAAGTTCGACACGAACTTTGAGTCACGGACACTGATAATAACCTTGGTAGCCCGCGATGTCTCATCACAGCCTCAAAGAAGACGTTCGCTGTCCTTTCCATCTACCGTCGAATACGTTGGTTTGATCGCTTGGCTTATTTTCCACTGCGGCGAATGTAGCAACGTATATTTCGGACGCTGGTAAATCTGTGATGAAGTCCGTCGATACTACATCTCAGCATTCCTCTGGAGTAGATATCTAGGTTGTAAGACGAGTGTCGTTTCTCTGATATTAATTTCAGAGTACCTCGGCGTTCAGCTTTAGCCACTCAAAAAAATAGATGTAGCTCGAAAAAATAGTAAATCAAATAAACGGAAATGGCTCCAAAACGCATTGTAATATCTATACAGAATCAAACGTAAAAAACGAAAAAGAACCAGACAAATGCCCTCGAATGTCTGACTGTAGCTGTTATTTAAGTTCAAGTTGTTGACTATTGAGATATTAATCTTTTGTCCCCAGGTTGAAAGCCTACCAGTACCATTGGGTACAATCCTACTAGTAGGCGTGCATAAATTAGTTTTAGTATGAAACTTTGTATTAACGAGCATATGCTAGTAACAAGAAAGTTAAAATTGAAGGTAGAGCGATGAGCTCACTGAAGCACGTGTGCTGCGATCTTGATCCCCACACTCCGAAAAATGGATTCACCTCCCTTCCAGGGACTCATACAATCATCACTACTACTATAATGGTTACAGGAGAAGCGTGGGTTTTTTTCTGATCATTGAACCCTAGTATCAATGGCTGTGTCGGATCCCACGGATTGCCCAGTTGACCGAGACCGCAAGTGCAAACATCATCTGCTCGAAGCAGTGACGGCTCATCTGGGACCTTGATGCATGGTTGGCTGCTGTATTTACGTACCCCTCTTTCTCTTGTGTGTCCCAGTACACACGCGTTGGGCCTCGACATGACGCCACTGTCATTGCGAGGCGATTTCCAATCCACCTAAATAAGTCACCAGGTTATATTGGACGAAACAAATTCGTCGCTAAATTTGTGTTGGTCAGCCGAATAGTTTATTGTAGAGCTTCCATTAGCCAGAAGTATTTCACTAACGACCGCACTCCAAATTGAAGGTGAGCCGGCCAGAGAAATGTTGCGGTCCGAAGCGAAAACGGTCAGGCTGAGTCTTCCATGACATTATCAAGTGGTACCCAAAGGCGGCCGTGAGCCGCGACTGTGCCGTCCTCCTCTTTCTCTAGTTGCTCTTTCAAATTCGAATCTCCATCGTCCACTTCATCATTGTCACTAGAAGAGAAGTCGTACTCCAATAAGTCGTAGCAAGCCGCATCTTCGGCACCCTGAAGCTGCACAAAGGTGGTATCACCGCCGGGTTTCTTAGTGTCATCAACGGTTGTGCCGGGTTAGATGCAAATGCAGCGTGCAGACGGGATAGATATGTCATCACTAGCCCATTGTTCCTTGCAAGTATGCTGCCTTCTTTCCTTTAGTAACCGAAGGATGATATCCGTTTTGCCGATGTACTTCTTGCTTTTATCATAATGCGATTTTCAACCTGCCATTTTGGCATCTTCTCTTCGCCAAATTGAGCGCGAAAAGAGATACCAGCCACGTTGCTTTTTACGCTCTAAGGACGGTCGTTTCCTTTTCGTTGTCAGTTGCTTGCATGACGAAACTTTATTTTTAAAGTTGAGGCAACCCGTTCGCGAACGATCCTACATAATCTACCGGTGGGGAGAAAAAAAAACTTTTATACAATTGCTTGCGAATACACTGTAATGGAGCATGTTTAGCGAGAATTGCATTATCCAGGTACTCGCTGTTTCCGCTCTGCTCGCTCACACTGAATCGACATTTGTTGTAATTTACGTCCTGGACACACGTTACGCTAACGAATCGAGCAATCACCCAGCTTGTGTAGCATTTGGTGCATTCACCCAGCTGCTATCCAGAGCAAGTGTCCGGTTTGTGCGTACGGTCCCGTCTGCAGCTCTCTTAAGAAACGTTGAGCTAGAAAGATTGCGTTTTAAACATAGCTTGCATCCAGCTAAACAGGAGTTTGTTCCCTATGACAATTTTGATTCATTTAAATTGCAATTTTTGAACTAT